ATGGTTGATGGATTTCCATTGTTGCTTATCTGAGCTGCTTATCTGTCCCTACACATTGTACAGGGAGCCTCAACACTAGCTCAGCTTTTGTGGATTGCATTGTTATCCCTGTGATTTTTCTAGGTACCTAAAGGTTAGGCATTGCAACACAGGAGTCCCTTCTTAGATCCATGCCTGTATACCTTTCACAAGAAGGGAAGTTTAAGGATTGTGGACATGATACTAAATCCTGATGCAGCCTTTATTCAGCTACAGTCCCTACTGAATTCAGTGAGAGTTTTGGCTGGGGAACAATGGATCTCTGTTCAGGATTTTGATATTGCCTTTCAAAGTGTGCTTCTGCACAGAATTTATTGAATGGGATGGTTTAAAAGAAGTTAGCAAACATAGGGCCAAGTCCTGAATTCTTTACCAAGGTAAAATCTAAAATCTGGTTGCAAGCAGCCAAAATGGTGATCAGGAACATGCATTGAAATTCCAACCAAATTTCTGTCTCATATTCACACCTCATGAATGCTTGTGTGAATGTTTTTGTACAGGTATCCATATTTGATAGTGACCAAGGCTATTTGTACATAGAGAAAAGTGCTCATTATTTTTGTTGGATTTTTTCCTACTTACTATGGCTGTGGCCAAGTTTCCCAGAGTCCCATAAAGTTTGCTTACAGCCATCAGTACTGGCTCTCAGTATTCTGTGATGTTATTTAGCTGTAATTTACTCCAATTGTCTTCTAAGAGCCAAATAAGCAGTGGAAGTGTTAGTAATGGTGCTAGACAATATTGATCTCCTGTGGTTCGGCAAATTCTCTGCTTCGCCATCCAAGGGTGCTGGACTAGAGAGGTTCAACCTGTACTGACAATCCACAAAGGAAAGCCCATCCAGCCCTGTGCTGAAATGACAAGCCAACAACTATGGCTTTTCAGAGAAGGCCTGAATAGATGACAGAATATTGGCTGAAATGATTGTCCTGGTGAAGTCACTGGGGTTACGTCTATACTGCAGAGTTTTTGTGCAAAAAAAAGCTGTTTTTGGCAGTGTGGACACTCCCTTGTGCAAAAGCACATGGCAGTGTTGACGTGCTCTTGTACAAGAAGCCTGCAGTGTAGACGTAGCCAGAGAGATCTGCTACTGACTGCACTGGAGCCAGATTTCTCACATTTGAGGCTTTTCAACATCACCTATTAAAAAGGTGGTGAACGATCTGTGCAATTACACAATTTTCAAATGAGAAAACAACACAATTATCTGGCCTGTACAGTGAGAAGGAATTGGTGGCAAATGAAGATCCACATTCAGAGCAGAGAAAACAGACTGAAAAGTTGTCAGATAAGGTAAAAAAAAAAAAAAGACAACCACCAGAGTGAGTACAGCAAATCTGAAGGAAGATAAATGGATAATTTAACAGCCATTCAGTTTTCAAGAAAGACAAAGAACAAACTACATTGCATCAGAAAAGGACTAGAAATGATGATGGATGAAACACTTTTAGCGCGTTGAACACCACAGAATCACAATAGCCTGCAGAATTCCCAGCTGAGGATAATTTCAAAGATCTAAATAAGGATATGAAATTGATATGGATTAACAAGTTTTTCAAAATCTATTTAATGGCAAGGCAGAAGGCATTGATCGCTCCTCAAAACAAATGTTGACAGGAAAGAGTCATCTCAGATTTTGCACAAACTGTGGTGTAAAATATATAGGATCAAGACCAAAACCAAGAATTGCAGAACCAAATAAAAGATTATATTGGTATTTATGAAACAGTAAGTCATCTTTTCATGGAAAAGAAATACTGAATCCTGGGTTATATTAAATGATTATGAACAGATTAACTATCAGATTGCCTGGAAACTGTAGCAATATATCAGTTGAGCTATTTCAATAAATTTCCAATCTCTCAGTCACATTTCTTCCCTTTGACAAGAACAATTTTTACTCTGATCAGAGCACACTTTGCTACAAATAAGTTAAAAGTATTATACACATTTTCTTCATTATAACATATGGGTCATTTTTATCAATAAAAGAAGTTTGTTTTATTAATCCAGCCAGCCATAACTTTATTAGAAACAGATACTGCAGCATTATTTTGGAAGTATACAGAATGTTTCGCTATCAGAAGAAGGAAACTTTAATAACTGTTCAGTTCAGAGGATGCTGAATATATTTTGTATGCCAGATCACTCCTGCTCACAGTTTGCTCCTCGTGCACTATTGGGGGTTACTATATCCAGGTGCATTCATTCCCTAGGGAGGGCAGGCACTGTTTTCTTCACTGCCCTCCTTTGGCAGTTTCATTGGAGATAGCAGCTGTAAATTATATTGGTAGTCTCCAAGAAACTGCACTAGCAGAAATCCTAAAGGAATGCAATGATTAAGTGCATCTCCAGCTGCCCTAGTCTCACACTTTCCCAGCCAGGTTTTTGGAGGCTGTGCTTGTCCCTTATGGGCTACCCATCATGGGGAGAGCAGAGTCTTTTTCTACAATTGCAGCCTTCTCTTGTGGTGCACTTATCTCTTTTGGAGTTTTGCATCTGGAACAAAACTGGCTTTTCATCCATAAAACAAAGCCCTAAAGTTTGCACATAACTCCATAAAAATGTATTCAAGCTTTTGTCCTTTATCTTCCGTAGCAAGCCTCCAGAAAACAGTCTTCTTTTATCAATAGAGTTTTGTTTTTCAGTACTAGCATGCACGTGGAGATAGCAAACCGAGAGATGATTTTGGTTTTGCAGAACATTTTCTGTCAGACCAAAGCTGTGGCTGGCTGAGCTGTAGGTCCCATTTTCTTCTAACCTCAAAACAATTCAAGGAGTATCAGATAAATGGTTGACCTCTGGCATACATCTTCTTATGAAAGCCACATCAGCAAAATTCTATTCAGCTCTGTTGTTATCCCATCAACTTTAGTGAAGTATAAAACACTTATATTGTATTTGAATTTATCTCTATGCTTCCAGGTCACTGAGGGCACATTTACACAGCAGGGCTAAACTCAAAATAAGCTACTCAACTTGAGCTATGCTAATTGTGTTGCTTAAGTCAAAATAGCTTATTTCGACTTTTGGCGCTGTCTGCACAACAGTTATTTCAAAATAGAACACTCTTCCTTCAACTTCCCTTACTCCTTAAACAATGAAGGTTACAGGAGTTGGAGTAAGAAGCTTGTTATTTCAAATTTATTTTGAAATAACGGGCTTGCTGTGTAGACACGCACTACATTATTTCGGAATAACTGATGTTATTCTGAAATAACGCTGCTGTGTAAACATAGCCTAACTTCTTAACTTCTCCTTCCAAATCACGAAGTTCCTACACAATAAAGTGAGTAATTAGAAATCAGTGGATTCCAAAGCAGAGTAAACATGGGGACCTATAACATTCTGACATGCTCAAAATAAATGTCTCTTATGCATAATTTGTTTTATAAATATTAGAGCTGCAGCCATATTTTCTTGGGCTGCAATCTTGTCACAGTTGGGCTATGTCTACACTACAGAGTTTTTGCAGAAAAATGGCCGTTTTTCCACAAAAACTCGTGGAGCATACACACCCCATCCATACAAGCACGTTTTTGCGCAAGTAAATTGAAAGATCAGAGGGGTTTTTGCGCAATTGGTAATCCTCATTCTATGTGGAAGAATGCCTTTTTGCGCAAGAGCTCTTGCGCAAAAAGGCATATGTGGATGGGGAAGAGGGGGTTTTTGCTCAAGAAGAGGCAAGCGGAAAAAGCATAGGTTCCCTGGTGGCCGTTCTGTCCATAGCAATCACCACTTACTTGCAAGAGAACATCCAGGCAAACATGTTGTTCCTTTGAAAGCTTTATTAAATAATGTCTGTGCGCCAAAAATTCATGTTTGGAATTTTAGTAGTGAAGAACAGAGACAGTTAAATATATTTTTAGGGGTAACTTCTAAGATAGAAAACTTAGTGTCTTTTCTCACTTTTGTCACTAGGAGACATTCCTTTAACACACTGACTGAGCTGCTATCAGATTACAGGGGTCCTGGTTCAATGATCACCTGGTCTCTATGAATATTGAACACAGGATAAATTCTGATCCTTTACTCATGCTGACTAGCATCTTCCTCAATGACCAGTCCCATTGCTGTAGTCAGCAGGGATCAGCTCTTCAGAGCACGAGGGTGCCATTATTACACAGCACAGCAGAACATGCTAAGAGTACATTTATACTGCAATCAGGGGTATACCTGTACTAGCTTTAATTAAATTAGCATGGTAAAAATAGCAGTGAACATGACTTGCTTGCCAGGGACCTTGGGTACACACTCACATTGCCAGCCTGCATTCAAGCCCATGTGACCCACATCGTCACTGCTAGCATGGGGGAACTTACTCAAGCAGCACTTATTTCTCTACCTGAAGTGCAAGTACATACCCCAATCTTTACTCCGTGTCTGTAAGGTAGGCAAAATTATTATCCACATTTTACATATAGGGGAAATGGGGCAGAGAGGTTCATTAATTTATCCTAGGCTGCACAGGGAGTCAGTGTCAGCTAGGATAAGAAGTCGAGAAATCCTGACCCTCAATTCTCCACTCAGACTACCTGAATATGTGCACCAGTTAGAAACAGGCAAAGTCTGTAGTAGCTGCAGGACAGGCTGCTAAAGCCAATGGTATGCCAGTCAAAATCATATCTAATCTTACCATCTTTGATCACAGGCAGCTCTGTTTGCCATCCTCCCATTGATATCTTCCGTATTGCTGTACAGTCTTATCTCTTCCCTCTTGCACAGATGCATTATCAAAGCATTATGACAACTTCCACATTTCTTTTCAAGTAATATAAGTTATGTCAGACTTTTTTCTTACACCTTTGTCAGCTGCATCCTATAAAATGCACAGTGAATATATCATGCACTATGTATCTTTTCCACAACCAGTCCTTCTCTCTTTGTGGGGCCTATACAGAGCAACAAAAAGATACTACAGCAGTTTGAATTTGTAGAAAAAAAATTGTGAAATACTACCATTTGAGAAAAACTATTTAATCAAAACTATTTAATCTTCAATACATAGACACAAAGGGAAAGAGGTATATTTAGATATGGCAACTTTACTATTATTTACTAATTTTTGAGTGCCTGGATAGCCAGCATGTATGGGTTTTTTTTAACATTTTTTTTGTAATGGAAGATGGAAACAAACAATGGCTCAGATAACTTTAAAAAGATCTTATGGCCTGATCCTGCACCTGTTATTCATGTGACTAGCCTACCACATAGAAATGAACAGGCCTACAGGTTTCTTGCCAATGTAGGATTCTTCTTTTGCTTGAGTATAAATTGATCACCATCTGGAGGACATGAAGAATTTTTCTTAAGGTACAAAAACTAAGACAATAACAGATGCATTATTGGTGGTTTGTGATTTTTTCTGAAACATCTAGTTTTCATGCAGCTACCTGGGACAAATGATTTGCCCACTGAAGTCAATGGGAAATTTGCATCAGTAGGAGCTAGACTGGATTTTATCAATGTGGACACTGAATTAAATGGATCACTGACATCAATTCCTATGAGGAATAAATGAAAGAAAAGGATGAATGAACAGTACTTAAGGGATTTTCGTTCAATAAAATAGAAAGTAAGTTGTAGAACAAAGAGCCAGAGGTGAAGAACCCTGACTGGGTTAGAGCCAACTAATCTTAAATAGCATTAGGAATAAATTGGTGAATAATTTGGATCATGAACAGATGCTGTGAATGTAGTAAATGCTGAAGAACCTGCCAGGGAACAGAGAAATGCGTTGCTGTTAAAATTATTTTGCAGAAGCTTCATAAAAGAAAATTGATTTAAAAAGGCATTTAATAAGTAAAACAGGGCCAGATATGAGTAAAAATGAGTTTTTAATTACATCTCAGGCACAAGTAAAATCCAGTTTGTGTAGTTTATATCAGAAAAGTCCTAGTGAAATTCTTTGGTACTCAGAAAAATTAAAATAAAAGCTAGAATTATCGTAGCAGGTTTAATTAAAAGCAGGTCAAAATAAAGGGGCCTCAAAGCCAAACTATACAATACAGAAGTAGTGTTTGAAACATGAAATCAATGCTTGAATAAAGACATTTGATAAACCTCTATGCAAAATCAGCATTGTGGACCATTTCTAACCAACAGGGTAGCTCAACTAATGGGTAATAAAAGCTAAAGTTTTTTTTAAGATTACTCTGTGTTAACTATTTAACAGAATTTCCTGTAATAAGAGTGAAAAATCAAAGATATGGTTTATTCACTGTGAAATTTTACTTTTAATTTATTTTAGTTAATTTTAATATCCTAAGGTAATCATAAAGAGTACATGAAAAATCCTGAAAGTGTCCTCATCCTTGTTGTTTAGTCTGTAAATACCTGAGTCCTATTAAATGTACAGTTACATCCAAATTTACAAAAAATGTATATATCCACATGGTGAATCAAAAAGATCTTCGCAGCACACAAAATCTGTCAATTAACTTGTGATTCAAAAAGTGTGGTTGAATCCATTCCAAGTATAGCGAGGGCCAACTGTAGGCCTTTTAGGAGTCAGGAGCAGGATTTGGTCCTTTCTGCTTAATTTTAAGAACCTCAAATTAAGGGAATAGTGGAAACCTCAAGCAAAGGTACTGCACAGTATGCGTGGCAGATGAATATTTTGGCCATGTAGAATACCAGCAACTCCACCTTCATCAACCAGTATGAAGTCACCATCTTTGGTATGCAACAGATTGACTGCACAGCAAGAGGAGAAATGACTAGGGCCCACAGAAAACAAAGAATAGACCTTGAATGTCATCATTCTAGGACCCACATATTATCACCCATATTGTATAAGCTATATAGAGCATGTGCATAGAGATGCCCTGGCCTAGAAGTCTTATTTTTGACCTGGAACAAGAGACCTGGCACAACAGCAGGCCAGTGCAAGTCTGTCAGGATCTGAAGAATCACTATAAGGCAGTGCCAGGGATGCTCTATTTCCCGGGCTCCTACATCGCCTTTCAATTCACTGTAGGCACTGCAGATATACATTAGCAGCATAAACATCTATGGCCTCGGTGAGGTGCAGATCATTCTGTGCTTTCAGGTGATGGGAGCATGAAGGTCTGAGTGTACAAAGCTACATCTCTAAGGACAATTCAAAAGTGATTTTTAAAAAATTATTTTATCAAAAATGTGTACCTTTTTTCTTCAAAGTTTTGAAAATTCAAGACATTTCTGCCAGCTCTATCCCTCTCTGTTGATGTACATCTGTGCAAGCATTGCCATTGCCATGACAAGATGCTTTGCATAGGAAGTTCCTGGTGAATTGCCATCAGGAGTGTATGTTGAATTGACTGCCTCCAAATTATGAAGGAGATTGGCTGTTCACCAGCAGTGAGTTTCTATCACTGATGTTAATGCTTATATTTGGGTGTGTCTCAGATTTCCAAAAACACACTGTTCTCTGAAATAAAGGGCTAAAATAGAGAGAGCTCAGAAAGGAGCTAGTTTGCACCAATGGAAACATTGTTCATTTAAACAAGCAAAGTCCTAAAATATCGTTACAAAGTAATGAAATGCTACTGTCAGGCAATAACATCTCTGCGATCTTACTGGGCAATCAGTTTATACCCTGTCATCAACCCTACCCATCGGGCTTCACATTTTACTCCGTGGTAATTGCATAGTTGAAGCAATTCACAGTAGATTTACTCCATGCTCTAGACAAAATTAATTAGTACTTATGGTCTGATTTTCAAAAATGCTGAGCACTTGCATTTCCTACTGAATCTGCTGACATTGCAGATGCTCAGCACATCTTCAAATCAGGCCATTGAACTTTAATTATCATGCAGGCACTCAATTAAAAATCTGCCAAGACTTATTCCAGTAGCTAACCAAGTCCCCATAGCTTGCAGGGTATCCATATTAACCTATAATACTAAACAGTCTTCTGGGGTCTTGAGGCCATTTAAGTTGATTGCTGATGAATATCTTGATGATTTGGTTTAAACAACAGGTTTAATAGCAAAAACTCCATACTTATCCACCTCTATATTTTTAAACATTCTGCATGTCTATAAAATCAGTGTTTGTTGTCTTCTCCTTCGTTCTCCTTTCTCATGACATTCCTCCATGGATTACAGACATGCACTTCACTTTCCATCATCGAAAGCAGACTATCCAATCTACAAATAGAGGCCTTACATTATTAATTAAAAGGGCTGCAGATAGAATAATACAGCAGTTACACTTCCTTTTATTTGAAACCTTGCATATCTTATGACCACCGGGTTGCATTTATACCTTGGACACAAATCAGACATCAAAAATAAGACAAGACACAAACTTGTAGGGGGGACATTTTTACCTGCCTGGTCAATCATGGGTTTAAAAGTAGCCATTCTTCTACAAAGAAATTTCATCAGCCAATTACAGAGAGAGAGTGTGCAATTGGTATTAATCTACAAATCTGACAGTGTTTCCCTGGGCTTGAACAAAGACATTAACTGGATGTCATATTATAAAGCCAGTCTTCCCTGCCTCTAACAACCACATTTTTACGTCAGAAGCTAAGAATGGGACAATTCCAGCCTACTTAATTAGCCTCTTTAGCACCAGTGCACTTCTCCCCCACCTCCTTATAAATACCTTGGTTCTTATAATTTCCACTCCAGCACATCATCTGATGAAGTGGGTTTTACCCATGAAAGCTCATGACACTATATATATTTTTGTTAATGTCTAAGATGTCACAGGACTACTCATTGCTTTGTTTGTAGTGTAAACATAGCCTTAGTGTATGTCTAGACTATGGTATCACGGAAACACTCCGCCACATCCAGGGAACACGTCTGCTCTTCCAACATATTTGCAGAAGAGCAGACATGCTCTTTTGGATGCCCTGTCTTCCTCGTTTCACGAGGAAGAAGGGCTCTTCTGAAAGAGGAGGGTTTTCTGAAATTTGGCCCATCTACACTGGGCCAAATTTCAGAAAAGCCTCTTCCTAAAAAACAATCAGGAAAAAGGTACACAAATTGCAGAGTGACTCAGCATAGCCTAAGTGACTCAGCTCTAGGAACTGAGCTGGGCTCCTGGGCTCCCTATGGCTTAGAGAAGCTTTTAACAGCCTTCCCACATTACTCTATGGCAGAGCTATGCAACACACAGCCCATGGGCCATTTGTTTGCGGCCCACAGTGCAATTTGGGTTGACACGGGGCTCAAAATGCGGCCTGTGGATGGGAACCTTGAACATGGCCTCCAGTGGGAACACATTCCACAACGGCGAGTCAATATAATGGTCTTCTGTTGATATGCATTTTAGTAGTTAAATTCCTGGACTGTCATTGCTCATATAAATCGGGTAAATATTGCATTTTATTAATATCAGCAGAACTGACTTAATACAACACACCTCTCCATTTGTCTTGCCTTAATCTTTGTATTCATGCCCGTCAGTGTGAAAGAAGCTATTTGAACGTACACGCAACCACACTTAAGTTGCGGCTCTCGGCATGTGCTGTGGGTATCATTGTGGCCTACAAGGCCAAAGTTGAGTAGCCCTGCTCTATGGGTTGCATTGCTGCCTGGAATCTCCATAACACTGCATGCTGCATCCCAACTCCCAACACATACCCTATACCTGAGAATTGTGAAAGGTCTGTGAAAGAAAAGCTTATGGCTGTCTGTCCCAGTGCTTACACTGGGAAGCATTTTACTTAGCCACATACAGGGCTTTTCAAGCCCTTTACACTACTACTGCTTTACCCAGTATGAAAAGGCTGTAGTGGCGGTGGGGGTGTGTCTTATGATTGTGGCAAGTAGTTTGAAAATGTAACCTGATTTCACTCTGGCTTAAAATCATGACATTTTAAGCCAATACATTTTAGGTTCTTTTTATTTATCTTCTGGGTTTGAGCTTTCAATCTCATGATATTTGAATGTTTGAAGTTAACAGTATGGCTGTGTCTAGACTGCATCATTTTGCCGGAAAAAAGCGCCAGTCTAGACGCGGATCTTTCAGAAAATAAAGCCTTTTCCGAAAGATCCCTTATTCCTTATTTTAAAAGGAATAAGGGATCTTTTGGAAAAAGCTTTATTTTCTGAAAGATCCGCATCTAGACTGGCGCTTTTTTCTGGCAAAGCTCCGAGCCGGAAAAAAACGGCAGCCCTGTTTATTGCACTGAAGCGGTGGGGATTTAAATCCCTCCCCCGCTTCATTTGCAATTGCAATGTGTCTAGTTAGTTAATGGAGATTGCCTATCTCCTAGGACTGGAAGGGACCTTGAAAGGTCATCAAGTCCAGTCCCCTGTCTTCACAGCAGGATCAAGTACCATCCCTGACAAATTTTTGCCCCAAATGGCCTCTACAAGGATTGAACTCACAACCCTAGGTTTAGCAGACCAATGCTCAAACCACTGAGCTATCCCTCCCCCACGGAAAAGGGATGCAGTCTAGACACAGCCTATTGGTTTAGCCCTTTTTCCTAGATGTTGGATCAGAGATATTGTCAATATTTTTTTTTTCCTCTCTTCCTTTATATCTTTCTCCAGTCTCTAGTGAAGGTGAATGTGAAACTGAAGCCCATGTTGGACTCTGTGGCAGTAAACAGGGGTAAATGGGAGGAGCTGCACCAGAAAACACTTCTCTCCCAGACAACACCCTGTTCCTCTTCTTCTAGCTTTTCTGTCTCTCTTGAAGACATACATTAAGCCTGTGAACATCAGCTGCTGTTATGACGACAGCTGTCTGCAAGGCAGTCCTAAGCTCAGCCACATCATTTTTAAAAAATGCTTCCACTGACATGATTAATTGATTGGATATAATTTCGCTGGCCATGATTTGGCTTTTATGTAGGTGTTCAGTTGGTCTGAAAAGACCTGAGATAAGATGATGCTGATATCTGGAGTCACATAGAAGGCATAGCAGAAGCAGTCATTGAGCTCCATCACATTTCAACTGCTGTTGTTTAAAAAACAAACAAAAAAACACACCACCACACCAGACTGCAGACTGAAATACAAGAATTTACATCTTAATAAAATTAATAATACAGAGCAGACTGGGAATGCACAATTATCAATGCATATGCAAGGAGCTGCAGGAAAACTGAAGACTGTGTAATTACTTTGTTGTTTTGCATCTTTTCAGTATTTGTTATGAACCAATTATGCCTGCTTTTGTAATGTCTTTCTCATTCCTTCTCTGTCATGCTTGAGCATTCTGAAATGCCTGCTTTGTATTCTACAAAAGTATTTTTTTACAACAAAGCTGCTTAGTGATTGATCAGAGCCTTTAGAATTGCCTGTCTGCTACATTTAAAAATAAACTTTATTATCTTTAAAAATATAAATCTGTCCCAGTTCCCCTAAAATATTCATATTAACAATGCAGTGAATTACTTTGCAGGTGGAAATCTGTATAAAGGCAAAAATTACTGCATGGTAATTTGGGTTCATTCTTTTAGAAAAACTGTTTCATTTTTAAGCTGCATTTTACCTAAGGAAAGAACTAATAGCCTTTAACAAAAATAGGATAAAAAGGGAAATGTATTGCTTTGTGCTGAAGAATGTGCATTGAAGAGTTTACTTTGGATGTGTCTTTCTGATATAATTTCCAACTGAGATAAATATTTTGACTGTTACCCCATAAGAAATGATGGAGAAATAGAGTACCATCACACTAGATATCGACTACCTCTTATTTCTCTTACCATGTCTTTTATCCAATTACAACTAGCAGAAAGCAAATCCAGGGTAACATATCTGAACCGTTGTAAGTAAAATGTTGATCAGTTGTGATAAAGAATTCAAGCATGCCTAGTTCTCAGTGACCACACTAAAGTTGGCCTCTTCCAATCAGTGCAGAAATCCTTGGCAAAACAGCACTGTAATCCATGATTTGAGACTGCTTGCTCTATTCCAAGCACGTGAATACAAGAGGACGCATGACAGAATGCTTCCCATCTTTAGGGCTTCTTAAGCATGAAATTGCCCCTTCAGGAAAAAAGAAAGCTACTAGGGTCATCAGTTACTGGAGGCCCTGACAATGGCAATTTGAAACTAGGAATGGCTACCACTAGGCAAAAACAGCATAAGAAATTAAAACCAGATTCTAATCTCTTTTACACTATCAGCAAAACAGAATAACACCTCTCACTTCAGTGGAGATACCCTGGATTGTCATTGCTGTAACAAAAATCAGAATGACTTACAGGAACAGATTTTCATAAGAGCCGAGTACCATTCTCTCTCATGAGCACCTAAGTAAGATGGGCAATGCACTAAGCATTTTTGAAAATCCGACTATTACTTCTAATTGACAATTTGTAAAACTATATCCATTTATTAAAATGTTTGTACTATTTATAATTTGTGTAGACATTAGAATGCCTGAATAATCCAGAACCAGTGCAAGAAAATCTAGTTATCTAAATCACTGAACCATATCATGTTTGCTACCAAAGAGAAATGGGGAGGGAGAAGGAGACATGTATGCTATCCAGAGGTAAATACATTTACTGTATGAACTTGCTTCTGTTTCTTTTCCACCTCTTCA